CTTCGGTGCGGATATCGATTCCGGGTGTCGATCGGTATCGCGGCAGGGGCGCGGGTCGTTCCTCGGCGCGGGACTTAGCGTGCCGTAATAATGACGCGTTGGGCTCGCTTATGGCGGTTGACAATAGATCGGTCGGTGCGTGTAATTATGAGATTTTACTCGCGTATCGGGAGCGCGGGTGCGGACTTAGGAATGTATCGGCCGACGAGGAATCCCGTCTGTGGCTGAGAACTCCCTGCCACGAGAATAATGCCGATACACAGGTGGTCGGAAAAGTTGCGAGGGGCCGAGAACTCCCGGCTGGGTCGAGCACGCCCGATCCCGTGTACCTCTATTCTGTGTTTGGTAAAGGATCGCTCTTCGAGATGCCGCAAAAGCTCGGCGGAGGCTGGGTACTCCCAACCTCGTTGTTCTTTCTCGAAGGAGCGTTCGTAAGGATTTTGGATTTGCTCAGGCGTCTTATTAACTCTAGCGGATCGGAGAATCTGCTCCTGATAACCGAAAATGCGCCCTATTTATACCGACTTTCGGCGCGCGCGTCTGCGTAATTCGCCTATTGTTCTTAACGGTATTCGCGTCATAGACCCGGCGTGCGCGACTCGGGTGTTTTCGGTATCGGTCGGACGGTACCCGAGCGCGTCACCGGCTCTTGACGGTTACGCGCGCTTAACGGCGGTTAGATGTTTACGCTTTCGGTTATTATTTAAAAATGGGCGCTCAGCGCTTCCGCATTTGCCCGACCGGTGTTCGTCGGGCGGCGGACTTCCGGCGGATCGGCGGCCGGGTAACGGTGCAATCACGGTGGAGGGATGCATCGTTACAGTGTTACGGAACTTGAAGAACGGCATAATGCTGAGTATTTAAGTACAGTTTTTCAGAATATCTGTAACTGGAATATAACACCGGAGAAGATTAGTGCTGTAGTGACGGACAATGGATCCAACATTGTTAAAACAGTGGTAGATTTATATGGCAGAAATAAACATTTGCCATGTTTTGCCCATACATTAAATTTAATGGCCAATAAGCCTTTTGATAAAAAAGATGGTTTAAATGGCGTCAAAGTACTGTTAGGATTTGTAAAAAATATTGTAAAATATTTCAAACATAGTGTGCAGGCTTCTGATCAATTGCGCAAAGTACAAGAAGACATACAAACTCCATTGAAATTGATACAATCTGTTTGTACTAGATGGAACTCTACCTATTACCAACTAGAGAGATTTGTCAAATTAGCAGATAAACTTGCTCCAATACTTTTGAGTAATTCCAAAGCTCCTCCTATGTTAACTGCTGCACAATTAGATGTTCTCAAAGATCTCATACAAATTTATGAACCTTTGGAAGTACTTACAAAAGAAGTTTCCGGAGAAAATTATGTGACCAGCAGTAAAATTATACCGATGGTATATTGCTTGAACAAATCTATAGAAGCTGTTCAACCCAATACAACACGTGGTTATGAGACAAAAACCATTATAATAAATGAAATTCACCGAAGATTTGGAGCCATTGAACAAGTGCATTCTTTAGCCATTTCAACTTTACTAGATCCCCGTTTTAAAAAAATTTATTTTATTGATAGAATAGCCTGCTCTCAAGCAATATGTAAAACAATCTTAGAACATATATAAATGGAAGGGGAATTCCTTTGTTTCCCGATAGAAAAACATGTCGAAAGGAAGTAAGAAAGAAAATCATAGTTGCCTCTCTCTTGTGAGTCACTTTGCTCAAAAGTGCGCATGCACGGCCATGTGTGTGTACACAAAAGTATGTACACTACAGACACGATGCTTGTATGTGTAGTTACTCCCAAGAAAGAGGCAACTACGATTTCTTTCTCACTTCCTTCGACACTTTTCAGCCTGCTATTCCCCTTCCATTTATATATGTTCTAAGAAAACAACATCAATGCTATCTGCCGTTGAAACTGAAACTGAAACTGAGCAGTTATTACCACTAGATGAATCAATAAGCTCTCTTAATGTAGAAGATGCAAAATCAGCTGGTAATATTTGGAGATTCCATACAACATTGGTGAAAGAAAAGTATCCAGAAGATCAAGAAACAAATCGGAATATAATTGGTGTCGATTTAAAAAACTATTTAAGCCAGCCTGTAGAAGATCTAAAAAAATTTGATCCAATAAAATATTGGTGTAATCACAAAGACACAATGTATAAAAAAATGTCTAAGATAGCATATAAATATATGTGTATTGTAGGTACCTCAGTACCGTCCGAGCGGCTGTTTTCCGTAGCTGGTAATATTGTTACGCCGAGCAGAAATAGATTATCAGGAGAAAGACTACAAAAATTAATTTTTTTTAAATCATTAGAAGGAAAACACTTGAATATTAATTACATATATAATTTATAACTACATTTGCATTATTTATAACTACACTATATTATTATTATTATATATTAACTTTTCTATTTTGTTCTTAATAATAAAGCTAATTTTTCAAAGCTTATAGATGTCAATTTGAATCATCTCTGGCTTCTCCTTCTTTTTGTATCTTTTTTATCATTTTTTTTATCATTCATTCATATAAATATGCGCCTTTAACATTTTTTTATATACGATTTTGAATCGATCTTATCCGAATCGATTTTTTTAGACCCGATCTATTCATGTATCGATTCTTAATCTGGCGATTTGAATCGATCTGAAAAATCGATTCTTTAGAAAAAATCGGCAACTCTATTTTCATTCTCCCATTTGTATCCCTTCCTCTATTCCTTTCCTTTTTCTTCTCTTTCTGTTTACTATTTCCCATACCTTACCTTCTGTCTTCGCCTCTGCTGCTTCTCTAATTAATCTCTCTCTCTCCTCCTCCTTTTTCTTTTCACATAATTCTTTATACTCTATTTTTGTTTTCCTGGATCTTTCTCCTGTCTTCTTTGCCTTCCTCCAGCTCTCTCCTCACTTCTTTTTTCTTCTCTATACATTCTTTATCCCACCACCCCCCATTTCTCTTTCCTACTTCCTATTCTCCTTTTTCACTTTCTTCCATCGCTTGCTTTATCCTTCCATTCATCCTCTCTGTTTCTATTCTAACCTCTTCATGCTTTCTCATTTCTATCCTTCCTATCTTTTTCCTAAATCTCTCACATCTCTCCTCGTCCCACAGTCCTCTCCTCACCCTCTGTCCCGTTTCCCCCTTTTTTCTATTCCTTCTCCCTTTATCCAGCAAATCACTGGCTGATGGTCCGCATCTACCTCTTCTCTTACTTCTACTCTGACTACCTTTTCTCGTACCTCCTCGTTCCCTATTACATAATCTATCACCGTATTGCCTCTACTTCCCGTGTACGTATATTCTCCTTCCTCGTCTCCTCTCATGCTCCAATTCAAAATGCTCCAGCCTGATTCCTCCAACGCTTCTATTAACCTTCTGCCTTCCCTATTTACTTTCTTATCTTTAGAGTTCCTACTTTTTTGATTATTTTCTTCCTTATCTATCACTATCCTCCCTTCCAATATATTCCCTTGTTCTCGCATTAAAGTCCCCCCCATTATTATTCTTGTTCCCTCTTCCCCGTTACCTTTCATCCATTTCTTTAACCCTTCCAGTTTTTTTTCTATATCCTCTCTTACATATACTCCCAGTATCCGCCACTTTTCCTCTCCTATTCTTACTCTTCCTGTCATCACTCCCTCCTCTACTGCTTCTAATCCTCCTTTCTCTTCTGCCAGATCTCTTCTTATTCCCATTATCATCCCCCCCATTGCTCTTTTCTTCTTATTTTTCTTTACCGCGTATTGTTTTCCCCATATAAAACCTTTCGGTAACTTTCCTTTTATCTCTATCCATTTCTTTTTATCCAGCCATGTTTCCATTAATGTAATAACATCTCATTCTCCCAATTTTTTCCAAAATCCTGCGTCTTTGTTCTTCAATCCCGCCACATTCCAAAATATAATTTTCCATGCGTCTTTTCTTTTCCTCTCTTCAAATCCTTCTTTAATTTTTCTCTTTTCCCCCTCCCTTCCCTATCCTTGTTGCTTGGCCCTCCTATCTTCCACAATTCCTCTTTATACCCTTCCCTCTCCTCTCTCTTCCTTCCCGTTTTCCTTTCCTCCCGCGTTCTTCTTAAGTCCTCCTCCTCAAGCTTCCTCCAGCTATTCCCCATTCCTCCGTCTCTTTCTCCTCCACTCCTTCTCGCCTCCCTCCTTTACCGCCCGCTTCCTTCTTTCCCCTCTTCCATCCTTCCTGTCATCTTTTCTTCCCACCTTCTTCCTCTCCCATCCTTTACCACTTGCTCCACCCCATCACCACTTCCTCCTTCTTTCCTCTTCCATCGCTATCTGTCTCAATCTCCACCTCATCTTTCTTTCCTTAAATGTTATATCCTCCTCTATCCAAACCTCTTTCCCCCTTAACCTCGTTTTATTCTCTAAAATCTTTCTTCTATTTTCCTCACTCCTCACCTTTACCATTATTATCTCCCCTTTTTCTCCTTTCCTGTTCTTATCCTTCTTAATTCTTCTATCTCTACTTCTACCCCTATCTCTTTGCATATCCTATTGACTTCCTCTCTCGCGTCTCCCTTCTCTCCTTTTATGCCCTTGAACACCAAATTCCTTTTCCTTTTCTCCCTTTCCTCCCTTTCCAATCCTCGTTCCAATCTTCTCATCCTCTCTTCCACCCCCCCCTAATCCCTTGTTCCCCGCCTCCTCCTTCTTCCCTTCTATTCCCCATTTATAGCTATTTTCCAGTATTTCTATTTTTCCCTCCAAACCGTTGATATAATTTCTGGTCTCCTCTCTTTTCCCCCTCCATATCCTCTCCTTCTCTCTTATTTCTCTTCTGAACTCTTCTACCTCCTCTCTCATCATTCTCCCTTGCTCTTTAATTCCCTCTTTAAGTAATAATAATAATAATAAACCCATATAAGAAAGGTGTGTCAGAGAGAGAGAGAGAGAGAGAGAGAGAAAGAGAGAGAGAGAGAGAGAGCGACAATAGACCTATCAGAACCAACAGATCAAAGAAGTCATCCATGAGCGAGCAGATAAGTGTAAAGCTTGTGTTTAAAATCCGGCAAGGTACGAGCATACCGTAGTTCAGGTGTAAGGCCATTCCAGAGCCTAGCAGAGCTCATTCTAAAGGAGCGATTGTATAGCTCAGTTCGACACGGCGGTAAGATGAGCATGTCCTCAGAAGCCCTAGTCTCCCGACTTAGAATTCTGAAGTTAAAGTTGGAGAAAAGAACCGTGGGTTGCCTGGTTGACTTTTCTCCCTTTCCTCCCTTTCCAATCCTCGTTCCAATCTTCTCATCCTCTCTTCCACCCCCCCCTAATCCCTTGTTCCCCGCCTCCTCCTTCTTCCCTTCTATTCCCCATTTATAGCTATTTTCCAGTATTTCTATTTTTCCCTCCAAACCGTTGATATAATTTCTGGTCTCCTCTCTTTTCCCCCTCCATATCCTCTCCTTCTCTCTTATTTCTCTTCTGAACTCTTCTACCTCCTCTCTCATCATTCTCCCTTGCTCTTTAATTCCCTCTTTCACTTCTTCCTTCATTCTCCTAATTTCTTCCCTTATATCCTCTCTTTCTTCTCTCCAGCTTTTCAATATTTCCTGTACCTCCTCCGCTTCCTCCATTTTCCCCCTCACTGGCGATCTCAGCACCTTCTTACTACTTTTCAGTATATCCTCCTTACTCCTTCCCTTCCCGAATTCTTCCCTTTTCCTTTTTAGCATTTCCTCTACATTCTCGTAGCTACTTCTTCTTTCTTTTACACCTTTTATATCCTTTCCCGCTAACTCTGCCATCTTCTCTTTTCGCGCGCCCTCTACTCCCACTCTCGTCCGTTTATTTCCCTATTCTGCCTTTCTCTATTCTCTATATTCCTTGCCCTATTGTCGCGCTATTGCCTCGACTTCTCTTCCCGTCCTACCTCTCTATAATTTCTATATTCCCTGCTCTAACCGTCACGCTACCTCGCTTCCCTGTAATTCCTCTTTTAGCTCTTATTCCCTGCCACCCCTTGTGCCCCTCACTTTCCTCCGCTCTCTCGCACCGCCACTCTCACTCTATCTCACTCTCTTCTCTTTCACTCTTCGCTTTCACACTCTTTACGTTGTCAAACGCCTTCTTTATATCACCACGTGTCACACTCTACGTTACCGGAAACGGAAGTCCCCTAGTATATATAAACGATATAATCAAAATCTGTCCAGAAGGAGGTAGTATAAAAATGTTTGCAGATGATACGTTAACATATGTAACTGGAGAAAGCAGCACGGAATTAGAGGGTAAAATGAATATGGCATTTACTATAATAGAAGAGTGGATAAATATAAATAAGTTAAAAAATGAATGCAGGGAAAACGAAATATATGATAGTCAGAAATATAAGAAAAGAACTGTGAGATAATATTACATTGAAATGTTAGGATGGAACTGAGATAGAACGTGTGGAAATAATGAAATACCTAGGCATAATTATTGACGACAGACTGCGATTTAAGTACCACTGTGATTATATGCTAAAGAAAATAGGGAAAAAACGAGTTTTTTTGAATAGAATAGGTAATTATATATCGGCATACACTTGGTGTATTGTATATAAGACTATCATAGCGCCTCACTTTGAGTATTGTGCGATGCTGTTAATTGATATGAAAGAAACACAGCTGAGTAAATTGCAAAAAGCACAAAACCGGGCCATGAGGATCATATTGTAATGTGATAGACATACCAAAGTGGAGCGTATGCTGCAGGCGCTGCATTTTATGTCCATAAAATAGAGGCTATACTATAATGTGTGTATTTTTATTTTTAAACTTTTAAGAAACATGTTACCGGAGCAATTAAAAAATAGATTAGAAATAGTGGGAAATGAGAATGAAAGACAAACACAACAAGCTGGCGATATTGCCATAAAATATCGCAGAACAAGGAGTGCGCAAAAGAGTATGTTTTACGAAGGAGTGAAAATGTATAACATCTTGCCGGCTAAAATAAAGCGGAATGAAAGAATTGTGCCGTTTAAGCGAATGTTAAAGCGGTATATTGTAATTAATGTGAACTAGATTTGTATTACAAATAGCTGAGAAAGTTAATAAAGATCAATCAATCTCTCTCTCTCTCCCCCTCCCTCCTTCCCTCTCTCATTCTCTCCCTCCCTCCCCTCTCTCCGCCCCTCTTCCTCCCTCTCCCTCTCCCTTCCTCTCTCCTCTCCCTCCCCCCTCTCTCTCTTTTTCTCTCTCTCTCTGCAGTGAAGAAGACGTGTCAAACATCGCTCCGCAAAAGTAATAACTTTTGAACGGTTAAATAGTTACGGGAGTGATTTTTTGCATAGGACTGTCAGAGTGATATTACTTAACCTTTTTGTATTCTGTTTGGCTGTCGGACGGGGCGGTGCCGTGAGTTCATCCGTTTTTTCTGAGCTGCGAATCGGCGAGATTTTCTCGATCGTGGTGTCAGTTTGGCGGTGAGACGCGAAGCGCGCGTGCGTGGCGGCAGATCCTTTGTTTTCGAGGCGAAATCAACAAACCGAAATGTCAAAACTAGACACAGGAACACAACACTCTGAGGTTTTGGAGGACGATGAGCGCAGTGCCTGTTCGAATAGGCGGGTTCTCACGAAACGGCTTTCCCGTTCAAACTTGGTGAATGTGTCGGATGAGTCTGCGAGTGGTGCGAGTAATATTCTGAATGTTTCTCGCATTAATGCATTAAGAAATTCTATAGCTAGGCATAATGATAATGTAGTTAGAACGCTTCTGACTAGTAAGGAGACCGTTGAAAAAAGACAGCAGATTGAGTCGGCTTTCCGCGCCTGTAAGGAGGCCTTTTTCGATCTTTCATCTGCTTGTCTATTTATGCTTGAGAATGGCGGGACGATGTCGGCTCCTTCTTTAAATGAGGTGAAGGATGTCATTGCGGGTGCGCTTTCCGAATTTCGCTCTGCCCTTCCCTCAGTTGCGTCTGGTGCTCGAGTGGTTGCGGGGAGCGGTCTTCCGGGCGCTTCTCGTTCTTTTGCGTCGGTTGTTGGATCCGACGGAGCGAGGGTAAGTGTTGCACATGGTCCCTCCCTTGAAGTACCGAAGACCATAAACTTATTGTGTCGAGGGATGATAAGCCGGAGAAATTTGGAACGCGAGGGACACAAAGGAAGCGCTCATAAAAGCGATTAAGCCTTCTGACTTCGATCTAAAGGTTAAGAGAATTTCGTCGGCACGTAATAACGGAGTTCGCATCGAAGCTCACTCCGTTAATCTGAGTAAAATTAAGGATTAAGCTGAACTTGTCAGAGCCGGACTCAGGATTGAGCAGGAGACCAAACTTAACCCTAGACTACATGTTTGCGGGGTTCCGTGCGAATTGTCCGCGGGAGAAGTCGAGGCAGAAATTGTGGCTCTGAACCTGAAGAACCAGGATAAGTCAAAGATCAAGGTCGTATATATGTTTCCTACGAAAAACAACTGTCGGACGACTAGCTGTGTCATCGAGGTATCACCTGATATTCGCTGCCTTCTACTGAAAGAGAAACATATTTATATCAACTACTCTGCGTGCAGTTTTTCTGATTATGTAAGAGTGCTCCAGTGCTTCAGATGCCTTGCGTTTGGTCCTGTTGTCGGGGACTGTAAGTCCACTGCGCTCTGCGGTCACTGTGCGGGAAATGAGTTGAAGGATTGCACAAAAAAAGAGACTGCCACTATTTGCGGAAACTATAAAAGATGGCCATCTAATGAGGTAATATGTATTTAGAATAATATATTTAATAATTCGTGTATAGCCTGTTCGGGCTATAACAGAGGGATCTGCTCACTCCGCCATGGACGGCAAAATATATCCAATTCTATGACGCAAGCTAACTGACAAAATTAAATATATTAACTATGATACTAATGTATACTACTCTCGATCATCTACGAGTATGTCACGTGAACTGTCAATCTTTATTTGCTCATCTTGATGAGTTTCGCTTCTTTTTCGGACAGGACGGGCAGGAATGGAGATGGTGTAGCATTCTATCTTGCCAACACACTCCAGGCGAAAATTCTACAGCAGTCAGATAGCAAATACTGTAAAAAGCCGGAATATCTTATTGCCGAGATTTCTCTCAGGAGTTGCTTTGGATTATTCTTGGCTGTAGTTTATCGGCCCCCTCACTGGCCACCTCGCAGAATTCTTCAATATCTTCATGAAATTGACTGCTTCTTATAAACACTCTATTATCTTAGGCGATTTCAATGCTGATCTGGGTTTGATTACGTATGATTCGGAACAAATTGCATCGTTCGTTGAATCTTCTAATTCTTATATAGTACCGTACAGACCTACTCATCATACGCGTAATTCATCTTCGACACTGGATCTCTGTATAATAGATGATGAGGATAAACTGGTGTCTTTTAGTCAGCATGATGTGTGCTTCATCTCTAATCACGACTTGATTAACATCGAGTATAAAGTCAAAGTTGAACGCCATCTCAAACGAACTATAAATGTTCAGGATTTCCGATCTTTCAACATCGACAGTTTCCGGAATGAGCTTTCGTCATATGACTGGAATTCTTTACTTAGTGCGCATGATGTAAATAATAAGATTAGCATACTTAAGAGGATGTCGGACTGTTCTGTTTTACCGACAGAATGCGAATATTAGTTAAAATGCAAAATATTTTTGTTGATTACAGATATTAATAAATCCTTTTCCATAATTAAAGTACATATAGTAACGTAGTGCGGGGTGTATGATTTCATGTAAAAAGAGAAAAAAATTAAAAATTACTGTTTTGTTATCGGCTTCTGCCATCAACATTTGCTTAATATAAAAGATTTATAATTTGCACGTGCCTAACAAGTAGATTCCGCACTCGGCATTTTATCAAAAAGTATCAGTGAACTTTGAGAAGTGAGTTTAGAAGCTTTATAAAAAAGATTTTACTATGCAAAACTTTTGTGCAAATGTGTGTGTGCGAGATCGAGGCTCAAGAGTCAAACAGAGCAGTAGATTAGTTGCGTGATGTCGCGATAGACAGAGCTGCAATCTTACATGACAAGGACAGATATAATTGTACTATCTTTGTCTTTCTCATGCATGTGAGAGTAATATACATGTACGCACTAACATTATGGCAGTATCTTTTCTCTCTCGATCATACGCTCTGTCTTTTTTTAATCGCTCGCTCACTATGTACTACGTATCGCTTAGCTTCATGCTTCTCGCATATTCACTTACACGTTCACTCGCGCTTCTCTCTTTCTCTCTCTCTCCCTCTCTTTCTGCTTGTTCATTATTGTATTCTTTTGTTCCCATTATTATATTCTTTTATTTGCTTAACTTATATTCTTTTGTTATGCCTCCGGAGAGACACGGTAGTTGGGATCGTTTGCCGAAAGGAATTTAGGAATTCGGGCAGGCCCGAGTGACTCACTTATTTTATTGTAGACGAAATGATACTTTTGTAATCGGAATGGAAATATAAATATCTATTTTATTCACAACTTGGCTTAATTACGAAGTTCCCGCACGTTAGTTCGCGTCACGTATCGCGATAGCGGATATCTTGGCGTGCGCGTGTCTTGAGTCGAGTTTCGGTCGCGAGACTCACTCCTCGATCTCCCGTATTTCTGCCGACTGCGTGGTTTTAATTTAATAGCTGTCCGTAAGGTTAACGTTATTGATTGCCCGCCGCTCGTTAGCGATGGGTCTTTTTATTATGTCCCCTTGGTTTCCCGGGAGGGGGTCATTTAGCGGCAGGATCATGTGTCGTGTCGTTCGATTTTGGCGGCAAGATCCGGGTGCAAACTATGGAAGTTCTAAGTAGGACTTCTTTGCTTGCATTTTCGCAATTTCCTTATTCTTTTTTATTTCGCTTCTAAGTAGGACTTCTTTGGTTGCATTTTCGCAATTTCCTTATTCCGCTTGCCCTGATTTCCGCATTTTCGCAATGAAGTGATTGCGCGGTCGCTCGGGCTTCGCGCGTAGCTCGCCTTGTCAGTGTTTCGTTCAGTCAACGGTCGTAACGTGATCTGTATTCGCGTTACACATTCGCGTTGAGCAATAGTATGAAATAATATATATCTAAAATAATTTATATCTAGTAACTAGTGTATAGTCTTTTCGGGCTACAACACTTTCTATTCTCGTCTCCCTACATGAAAATAAATAAACTGATTTATTTATTTTTATTTTATACTGCATAAATGAGATACACAATAAGTTATTTTCTTTTTCTATTTATAAGATACACAATATCTCATTTATATTCTATAAAATAATGATGAATAAATTAATGATTGAATTAATAATTATTATTATGTAGAAAGACGAGAATAGAAAGAATAAAAGTCGAACAAATAAAAGAATATAATAATAGGGATGAAAGAATACAATAAAGAACGAGCAGAGAAAGAGAGAGAAAGAGAGAGACAGAGAGAGGAGAGAGAGGGGGAGAGGGAGAGAGGGGGAAAGAGGGAGAGGGGAGAGAGCGAGAGGAAAGCGTTATTTATTCTACGCTCTGGGACAAGTCCCCTCAAGCGCATTAAGCATAATACAATCAGAGTTAACAATCTAAGTAAATGCATATATACATTTGATAATAGTGTGTGAGTATATGACATGTCATATGTCACAGGCAAAGTAAATAATACACTAATGTAGACAACAAAACAATGTAGTGGTAACCATAATCAAAAACAGTACAATCTTCTTTTCAAAATTTATATTAGATTTATAAAAATTAAATGAAGGAAAGCGCATTATACTAACAACATATGTATTTTTCTGTTTCAGGTGGTCACCTTTAAATTATATTATATATTTTATTATCATTATTATTTTTATTATTATTTTTTTTAACACACACATACACACATACATACACACACATTTATATGATACACAATCATTGAATAAACTTATTATTATTCTATATAAAAAATGTCGATTATTTCTGCGCCTCCTTCTTTCCTTTTCCCACACGCGTGTATGCCTCGCGCTATCTCTCTCAGGTGTAAGGCCATTCCAGAGCATGGCAGAGCTCATTCTAAAGGAGCGATTGTATAGCTCAGTTCGACACGGCGGTAAGATGAGCATGTCCTCAGAAGCCCTAGTCTCCCGACTTAGAATTCTGAAGTTAAAGTTGGAGAAAAGAACCGTGGGTTGCCTGGTTGACAGTATGCAGTAGAGAAGGCAACCAACAAAGTATGTTCTCCGATCAACAACCTTGAGCCACCGAAGTTTTTCATAGTATGGTGTAATGTGAATGTCCGCTTTGAGATTAAAAATGAATCTAATGCATGAGTTAATAGCTCTGTACAGCCTTAGATTAAGTTCGGCCGTCATGTCAGTATAGACCGCACAGCAGTAATCAATATGCGGAAAGATCAATGACACAACGTGCCTGATCTTCAGAGCATCTGGAAGCAGATGTTTGCTCAGCTTCAGCTGATACAATTTACAATTATTCGTCATACTTGTAACCTGCTTTTCCCACGATAAATTGTTCATGATGGTGACACCAAGGTACCTGATGTGAGAGGAATACTTGATAATAGACTGCTCCACTTTAATTTCCGGGATGGCAGACAAGTCAATAGTGTTTATGAACCTTGATGTCCTTATAATAATTGCCTTGTCAGAGTTCAAAATCAGTTTATTTCTCTGCGTCCACTCAAGGACCGCACTGATATCCTCGTTAACGCTAGAGATGGCCCCCATCAGAGCAGCAGGCTCACAGTGGAGATACATCTAAAGGTCATCCGCGTAGAAATTGTACTTGCAGTGAGTGAGCACCTGCTGAAAGTCCGATAGGTCAAAGAAGAACAGCAGAGGCCTTAGTACGGAACCTTGCGGAACCCCGGCCCCGATGGATGACCAGGACGAAACACTACCATCCACGCTATTCCTAGTCGCTTGCATCCTCCCCACCAAGTAAGAACGTATCCATCCGTGAGCAGAATTGGAGAAGCATAAGCTCTTCAACTTCCTCAAGAGTGAGTGATCCATTCTGTCAAACGCCTTAGAGAAATCAATAAAGACAGACACCGTAATCATTCTACGATCCGCAGCCTGCCTCACCTCATCCAGCATGCGAATCAGGCATATTTGAGTGGAGTGGTCCTTGCGATAGGCAGATTGATAAGGATCCAATTGATCAGACTCCAATAGGAAACGGCAAATCTGTTCGCCCACCACTCTCTCCAAAATCATTGACATTGCCGGCAGAATAGAGATAGGTCGATAGTGCTGAACAGATGTCGGATTCTTAATCTTCGGTATCGGACAGATGAGCGCCGATTTCCACTGTTTTGGAAAGACGCCATGATTCAATGAGAAATTGATTAAATGCTCAACTATGGGCATTAGATAAGGTAAAGTAAACCTTATTAGTTTTAAGGAAATTTCATCAGCACCAATAGCGTTACTTTTAGAACAAGAAAGCACACGTCTAATAGTCAGAGGCGTGACATATGACCAATAGAACTTCACATCATCATATCCACTAGTGCGTAGCTCAGCAGAAGGCGGACTCAAAACCTCCCCATCCGATCTCACAAGGCCACGCGAGAAGAACACGTTTAACTCCTCCACAGAGCACGAGAGGCCCCCACTCACATCTCTAGCCTTGATTAAACCTAGGTGTCTTAATCTTCTCCAGATTTCATTAGGGTTATCGGCTTAATTAAAAATAGTAAGATAGTAGGCTCGTTTGGCTGACCTTACGAGAAGTTGCATTTTGTTGCGTAGACACCGAAAAAGATCGTAGTGATGATTTCCTCTTTTCCTACCCCAAGCTTTTCTGGCTAAATCCCTCTCACGCATGGCATCACGCAACTCATCCGTCAGCCAAGGAGCAGGCAGATTTCGAAAATATCGCTCCCTCAATGGTACATGCCTGTTATAACACGTTAAAAGATGGGAGTTGAAGATTCTTATCTTCACATCAATATCTCCAGAGTTAAGCAATTCAGTCCAATTCAAACAATCAATGTCGGACAAAAATCTCGTCTCATCAAAACCACGATAATCTCTGCAAATAACATGCCTGCCATTTCTGCGTTGCAGCTTGATTCCGTATTTAATGTAAATAAGATCATGTGCCGATAGAAAAGGAACTTCATGCTGACCATATTCCTTAATATTGCCTGGGTCATCCGCAATGCACAGATCCAATAGGGTAGAAGAATTCCTCAGATGATGAGTGGCGGCGTAAGGTACCAGATATAGACCAGAGGATGTAACAAAAATACTAACCTGCTGACTGTCAAAGGTGCAGCAACACATATCAGCGTTGAAATCTCCGAATATAAGAGAGTGCCTGTAGCCAAGCTGTAACTCCAGAAAGAGTTGGAAGAATTCATTCAGATAGCCTGAGTTAGGTGGTCTATACACCACCGCTATAAGAAGCCTGGATCTGTCCCTAAACAAGATTTCAGCTATTAGGAATTCCGGTCTGACCATGGCAGCTCCAGATGAGTGCTCCAGAACAGATGCACCAAGAGCATCCGACAAATAAAATGCCACGCCTCCCCCTTGTCTGCCCTGTCACATCTAAAAAGTGAGTAGCCCGGCAATCTGACCATATCGTCAGGGATGTCTGGACGAAGCCATGTCTCTAACATGCAGATTATATGATAATCTGTCCTGCCGATAAAATGTGAAAATTCATCGAAGTCCGCTATGAGGGATTGACAATTCACATGACAGATCCTTAAATCCTCAAGACCAGTTGTACGATCATCAATAATTAATGTTAGCAATCTTGTCCTTAATCCTCCAGTCAAGAATAGGACACCTCTGAGCATCCAAAGCAGAATGATCAGTCTTGGCACTCTGATTTCGCGAACAGTTATGACATATAGGTGGCTGGTCGATACTCTTATAGTCCTTCCTCTCGTGAGGCCCGGCACAATAACCGCAGAAAGGGTCAGACCTACAGTCCCTTCCGATGTGCCCGAAAGCTAGACATCTATAACACTGCATGACCCTGACATAGTCTGAGAACGAGCATGCAGCATATTTCAGAAAGATACGGTCCTCCTTAATTAGAGCATTGCGAACCACAGACGAAATCTCCAAGATGCAGCTCGTTGTACGCTTATTCTTCCTGGGTGGAAAAATATATACAGCCTCTACTTCCGAACTAGCGTCTCCATCCAGATTCTGAGCAATGGGCTCGTCCTTTATCTCGCAAGGTGACATCTCCACCGGGACGCCACGCACTATCAGTCTAGGATTAAGCTTAACATTCTTTTGCACTTTGAACCCAGCTCTAGCGAGGCAAGGATGAGCCTTAATACTCGCTATATCAGATGAAAAAGCCTCTATTTTAACACCATTATTTCTTGCAAAGGAGATCCTGTTTACCTTAAGACCACACTCAGACGGTTTTAGCACCTTGCATAGTGCATCCCGGGTGACCTGGGACGAGCCATACCTCCCTCCACTCTCCTTGTCAGTCATCATCAGAAAATTGGTGGTGCTAGTCACTCCGACTGTAGGTCCCCCAGAGACACGTATCTCCGGCGCCGAGCAAGCAGCAACGGAAGCATAAGATCTCCCCCGTCGTTGAGCCGCTTCCCCCCGGCACTCAGACCGCGATTCAAAGTGTTTGTGATTTTTGAGATCATCAAGGGCCACATCGACCGCCCTCTTGATATTGTTAACCACTTAGTTTGTATTTATCGATCGCTCGTCAAGGAAGTTGACCAAAACCGTCGAGACCTCCATGAACGCATCCCTACAGGCGCGGAAGGCAGATTCAATCTGTGACCTTTTGTTGAGATTCTCCTTACTAGACAAGAGCAGTCTAGATATCGTTTCGCTATGCCTATTCACAGTAGCCCTCAGCGCGTTCACACGCGATGCATCAATAGACGCTCTCTCCGACACACCCGACAGATTAAGACTTGCCGCACTAGTCTGTCTCACAAGTCCCCCAAAACGCCCCCCAGTCCCACGCCAAGATTCCCACGCCACTGCCACCTCGCCCACCAGTCTCCACGCCATCGTCTCTATGCCCACCTGCGCCTACGCCACTGCTACTCAGCCCACCAGAGTCGACGCCGCACGACATCACGCTTCCAGATAAACGAAAGCGTTGACGAGGTTGAAAAACAAGATGGGAGAAAGAGCAAGCAAGCGGTCCAATCCACCAGAAAAGTTCGAAAAGACAGCGACGAAGTCGGACAATGAGCAGGATAAAACCAGAAGGTCAAGCAAAGTAGCCCTAGACAATGTATCTCTAAAAAAATAAGAGCCGTAGGGCAAATAACGGCAGAAAACAGAAATTTAGGCGGAGCGATAAAAGACACGTCAATAAGCACTCACCACAGAGACGGAGAGAGAGGGAGAGAGAGAGAGGGGGGGGGATGGAGAGAAAGAGAGAGAGTAGGAATGAGTGAGCGAGGGAATGGCTGTAAAACGTGTAACGGGTCCACTTTCACGAGCGCGTGGAGTAGCTCGGCCGGGATCAGGGCTCGAGAAAAAGGGTGAGACGCACGAGAAGCTTGAGTTGTAACGTAGCTGATTTATTCGCTTCTTTTAGCAATGGTCAATTTACAATATGATAATATCGGTTTATATCCCGCGAAGCGAGCGCGCGGCGGGTAACGAGACGTGTTATAATTAATTCGCGGTCGTTAGTCGGTGCGCGATATTCGATGTATCGAACTTCGTACGGTATTCGCCGGCGGATAGCGAGACCGGGTTTGTTGTGACGGTGCGCGCGAGACGCGCAAGAAACAGGGCGCGATTAGTCGGCGTGTGTACGGCAAGGTCTTGTTTATTTTGACGGCGCGTTACGATACCATAAGCGAGATACGGCGCGACAGATATTTTGGCGCGACTATTTATTCGGTCGAGCGGCGGTGCCGCGTGTTTACGAAGGCGTCGATGTTAGATGCCGTTTTCTAGCGCGTATTCCCAGCTGATCGGGGATGCGGTCAGAAATCGAGTAATCTCGATCGGGTGGAGAACTCTCCGGTCCTATTCTGTACGCGGACTTAAGGAAAGCCGGTCAGAGTCGAGAAATCTCGACGGGGTAGCGAACTCGCTAACCCACGGTCCGTCTGGCTGGAGCGGTCGGATCTTAGACCGTAATCTAGGAGAGCGGCGAACACTCCGCTCTCGTTGAGTTGGTCTGAATTGCGTGAGGATTCGCAGGCGACGATGAAACCGAGAATGCTCGGCGGAGGCTGCGAACCCGTCAACCTCACGTTCCGTCGTTTTCTGTGAACTCTAGGATCGGATTTGGTATAGTATTTCGAAGCGTACTGCTCGAGAGGCTTCAAGTACCGGTCTGGTAATGAGATGTAATTCGGCGGCCTTTTTATACCGAGCGCTTTAACGGTATCCGCGTCGCTTATTCAGGTGGGGGTAACGACGCGGCGTTTCGGAGTCGGAGTGCTCGGTATTTTTCGGAGGCGTTCGGCGGTACTCGGGATTCGGGCCGTAACGACAGCCGTATAACGGCTGTCTTCGTTATCGTGTTCGGTTTCTACGATATTCTAAGATATTCGCAGTGCGTATAAAAAAGGGCGCTAGGCACCTCTGCCACTTCCCGGCTGGTGTTCGCCGGGCGGCAAACTTCTGGCGGGTCAACTGCCAGGTAACAATGGGGGGTGCATTGTTACAAACGATATATCGATTGATAATTCACATCAGTCACTAAACATTAGTGAGCATAAAGTATTGCTACGGAGGAAGATATAACTATTTCCTTTTTTTTCTTACTTTTGGCACTTGTACAGACACTTGCTCAGATACACTCATATCTTCTTTCTCTCTTTGCCCATTCTTTTCTGTCCATCTCTTTCTTATCCGAGCATACTATATGTATGTGTATTATATATTATGTGTGTATATGTTTGTGTATATGTAATAGTAACTTTAAATTTATTAAAATATCATTTTTATGTTACATTTTCAAAATATTTATATACAGGATGTCCTAGACCACCTGTACACCTCTTTTCTTTCAAAAACTAAGCATTTTAGAGAAAAACGTTTTGAACAAAAATTGTATGGTTTTGAGGGGAACATAAGATGGTGTCATTGGTTTGACCTTGGATGGCATCGTTAAGGTCAAGTCAAGGACACCTTTAATTTTGTAAATAGAATCCCCTATTTTTTATTGCATACTGCTTAGTTTTTGAAAGAAAAGGGGTGTACGGGTGGTCTAGGACACCCTGTATATGTATGAAGATTTCGATATAATAAAAGTTGTAGTATTGTTTGAGATAAATACAATGCTGTATGTTGTTAATATTTTACATATTATAACAGTTTTATCGGCTTGAAATTTCGTGGGCTATGTCTACCTTTTCGCATTCGGCCCCATGATATAGTCAATTTCTGATTCGTGCATTACAGATTGACGTATATCATGTTGTCATTTGATCATAATAATGAGTCAGAAGTTGGCCATATCGTGGAGTCGAAAGTGAAAAGGTATACGTCACCTGCGAGATTTCAAACCGGTAAAACTCGTTGTAGACATTATATTAATGGTAAATATGCATAAAAGGTTACACCTCGATTTTATCGCCGCTTAAATATGTTGTAAGGGGGGTTCTTTTGAGTAATTCGCCGCAAGAAAAAAGTGGGGGAAAGCATTCGTTTAGAAGATATGACAAATTAAAGTTTGACATTTAAGTTTGACATTTATTTCTGTTATTTTTTTTATTGAAAAAGGCTTACGACCTTAACGCGTGGGTGGGGGCGGGGCCCCGCCCCCTGTTTCCCCATCCCAAAAAAATTTCACCCCAAAGCTACAATTTGGGTTATATAACGTAACCCAAACCAAATTTTAGTTTTAAATCAGAAATAGGTTTGGGTTAGGTTGTATCTTCCGGAAGTAAAGCCCCCCGTAGGGGGGGGGGACATACTGCCTCCACGCATATACTTTTTAATGAAAAATAAAATTCCACATGGGTTTAAAACTTTTCACGCAAAGCAAGATTCAACTCATGTACAACCCATGTAGAATCTCACTTTGCTTTAAACAGTGTATGCATGGACACAGTAGGTTCCGCCCCCCCCCCCGTAGGGGGGGCTCCACTATCAAAAAACTAGACACATTGGTTTGCGTTGAACCTCGCTTCGCGTGGAAAGTTGTAAACCCATGTGGAACCTCACTTCGCATTAAAAAGTGTATGCATAAAACAGTGGGGCTCCACTTCCGGAAGAAATAACCTAACCCAAACCTATTTCTAATTTAATTTCCCTCTATCTTTAAAATTCCTCTGTCTATTCATGTATTTATTTATTTCACACATTCAATAAATAATATTTTAGTTAATAATTTTTTAATGAAAAACGAGCGACGGCTAAAACCTTCTGAAGGTCACTCAGGGGGAATCATATGCGGTTTATGCATGAATATTCTGGTTATTAAAAAACAGTTATTCCAGAAGAAATTTAAAGAAACTTCCGTTTTTGAAAGACAAAGTGTGCAATAT